GGAGCCTTACTTATCCCCCTTCCAGGAGAGAGGAGGCTTCTGGGGCAGCTGGCCTGGCCAAAAAAGGAAACCAAGAGAAATGGAAACTTCCCAGCCCAGAATTGCCGACCAGAGCAGGGGAAGTATAGTCAGGCTCTCGTGACATAGCCAACTGTGGGTGAAATAAGGGACATGGGGCTGGGGCAGAGGACAGGACATCAGCCGGGGGCCACAGTGGTCAACTTGAGGGCCCCCCCCCATTCCCGCTATCACATCTGTAGGCTGCTGGACCCGCCCCCTAGGCTGAGCCTCAGCTTCCCACCCGTACATGGTGATGGGAGGGGGTCTGGCATGACCGTCCTTAAGGAAGGGTGCCCACGCCCGGCTGCTCAGAGCTCTAGGAGACCTATTAACCTGATCTAGCTCAGCCCTGGACAGCTCTCCCTGCTTCTTCCAAGTGCCCAGAGCTCCACTCCAGCCCGGCCCATCAAGGGGGCCAATGTTCCTGAAAGGAGAAGCTGGTCAGAGGAAGGCCATCTGCCCTGCCCCCAGCACAGGGAGCCTCACAGAGGAAGGGCTAATGGAGACAGAGCTGAGGGCCGAAGGCCTCCTCACCTGGAGAACCGCCCCCATCTCCCACCCCTGCGCTCAGGAATCACTGGGGAAAGCCCTGGTCTCCTTAGGCCCAGCCCTAGCTTCCCACCAGGGAACTGTGACGGAGCCATGGTATTGCCAGCACTGCTGAAACCTTTCTAGACTGCAAGGGTCCTCGCAAAGTCCCCATGTCTCAAAACAGGTCATCTGAGCCATAGCACCTGCCACTAACACACAGGCTAGCTGTCAGCTATGTTCAGCTCCCCAGGTGGCCCAGGAGCTTCCAGGGCAGGACTGGGACTCTGTTTCTCTGCCCCCTGCAGGTAACCGGACACCTGGGTGGGCTGAGAGCAGACCTGGTGACAGGCCCATTGACCCCCAGGAAAGGGAGGTAAGGAGCCTGGGTGTTGCTGGCAAGAAGGCTTCCTCAGAACTGCAGCTTCTCCCCACAGGCAGGTGGGCTGTGGAAGGACAGGTGGCCCACCTCAGATGTCCCCTTCTGCAAGAAACCTTCCCAGAGCCCTTAGGTCCAGGCTGACTCAACACCTACCCCTCAGGGTGCCCCTCATGCCTCATCTGTTCTCTCCGGTCCTAGTCACAGGGTTTGGAAATCCTGTAAAGCCAGAAGCTTCCACTTTCCCTTTCATCCTCTAGTGGCGCCTACTCTTCCTGCCATCTCAGCTTCCCACTTCTTCCAGGAAGCCCTCCCTGACATGGTAGGCTAGAGTATGTACCTCTTCAGTTCCCACAGCTGCCCTGTTACAACCCCCATCACACTCCACTGTATGTGTCTGTTTACCCATCTGTCTCCCCGTCTATACTGAGAAGTCTGTGAGGGCCGGGCTACATCTAATGTCTCATTGCGGGATCCCCAAGCCCAGCCCTGGACCAGCACAACACTGGGTCCAGTAAATGTCTGATGAATGAATATGTCCACCCCTGAGGCTGCAAGCCCACTTCTTCCCACTGATCCTGGGCCTTCTGCTCATGAGAGAAAATGACAAGAAAGAACACGTAACTCAAGGATTTCCCCTGACTTTCCAGTTTTCAATTTCTCATCTCCGCTAAGGTTCAAACAGGCCACACAACCTCTGCCCAGCCTTTCCCATCCTAGAGAGGCAGGAATCCCAAGGCATTAAGAAAAGAACAACCCCCTTCCCTCACCCTCTTTGGGCATTTGGGGAAACTGAGGCTCAGAGGAAGGCAAGGACTTGCCTAAAGTCACATAGCAAATCAGGCTAGAGCTGGGACCAGGGCCCAGATTACCAAGCTCCCAGCTCTTTGCCCCCACACCATGGTCATCCTCGGGCCATACCAGCATCCTCCCCACCCCACTCCACTCCACCCACCACCTGCTCTCAAAATCTTTCCTGTCCAGGGCAGAGGGGCCACAGAGCTTGGCAGGAAGCTCCTGGTGACATCACCAAGCACCTCTCCCAGCTTAAGAAACCCCCCCTTCTCCTGGGACTCGCCCCCCTCTCTGTTCTGCAGGAGGAGTTCACCTTGAAGGTGATGAGCGCATCCAGGTCCCTAGGGGGCGAGGATTTCCACTGGAAATGCTGACGCTCAGGGAGCCCCAGCTGTGACCTCATTCCCCGGAGGAGATGACGACCAACCCCTGCCCGGGGGAGTGGCCCATAATGGCTCCCCAGCAGCCACCAAGTCAGCAATAACATCCCGTTGATTAATTGGATAAGAGAGAAGGCACAATTGGCTGGGCAGGTGGAAGCTGGAGACTTGGACTCAGATTCCAGCTGTGCACAGGCTGGCTCACCTCTGGCCTTGGGGACCAGGACCTTCCTGGGCTTCTCCATCTCCTCCAACCAGCGATGAAATGGGGCCAGGCTGCACAGCTTACACAAGCATCCCAAACTCCTGCCAAGACCCTGCCTTCACCTGCAACCCACTCCCCTTCCACCCCTGCTTGCAGGGGAGTCAGGCACACACATATACATCCTTGACTGGCCCAGGTATCAGTGACAGCCCTCAGGGGACAACCTCCAGAGCCCTTGCTGAGACAGGTTCAGATCTCAAGGGCACCTAGCAGGTCAGTGCTGACACATCCCTCTCCCTGCCCCAAGCTGCTCAGGGCCACGGCTTCATCAACGCTGGTGAGGCATTAACCTCCCCGGGTACAGGCTGGGACCCTGCCAGAGCTCCCTGTTTTAATCTTTCCCTAGCAGCAGAAAAGAATTCTCCATGCCTACTCCTGATCCCTCACCTGTCCTAGCGCGAAAGTTCCTCCAACCCCAATCTAAGTCTCGTAGAGAAGTAGCTCCAGAACCACCATCATCCTTGAACTAGTCCTACCTGAAGGCCACCACCTCATCACTACCTCCACCCCCTGGAGGACCAGGACCTAGGCCTGCAGCAAAACTAAGAAGGGTCCCTCTCCCCCAACTCCTGGGTTTGCCCTGCCCAAACCCATTCCTGCCCGACTGCCATGTGTCACCCCACAGGAGACAGGAGGCAGCTGTCAGCCAGGCACACTGTTACCAGCTGGTGGCCCTGGGGGGCAGGTGAATGGCAGGGCCTGTCTGGCCAGTGGGACACCTGGCACTGGTGAAGGTAACTACAGAGTGCCCTTGGACAAGATTGGTGAGGGGCTGGAGGACCCCAAGCAGAGGGCAAGGTCGGTGTGGCTAGAGCAGAGACACACATGCTGCGGAAAGCGGGTGGAGCTAGGCTGGGAGCTTTGAAAAGAGGGTAAGAGGGCTGAAAGCAGCTTTAAATAGCCTCAGGGTGGGGACTAAGTGTCCAGAATGGAGAAGTACACAGTAAGTGTTGAGACATGGTTATGCATTAAGTGGATATGTATCAGGAGGGGAGGTCTTAGGGGGACATTGGGGAGGGGAGCAGAACCAAATGCAAGGGGCTTGGTGCAAGGGGAGATTTCAGAACACTCAGATGTGGCTATTTGTTCCCTCCAGAGTGCCCAAGTGCTGAGGGCAAGGCAAAGGAGCAGGGAGGGCAGAGGAAGCCTGGCTGGGGCTGGCACAGACTCAGGTCTGAGAGGTGTACAGGTGTGCACCATGAGCAGGCGGTCGGTACTCCAAACACACCATCGTCCACTCCCCCAAGGAACACTTCTGTCTGGGTAGCAAAGCTGGCCCCCAGAGCCCCTCACTCATGGCCCACAGAGGACCATCATCCCTAACCCAGAACCGGGACTGATCCTGTGCCAGGACAGAGTCCCCGCCTGCATCATGAGCTCCCACGGTGCCCAGTGACCTTGGGCAAGTCACATTCCTTGCTGCTGCCGCAGTTCGGGCCACTCATTTTTGTGTATGGGTTTTTTTTCCCCTCTGCTAAGAATACCTGCCCCAGATAATGCTCAAACGCTTGCAATCCCTGCAAACCGCCGCAGGCATCAAAGGGCTCCGGGGCGGGGGGTGGGGTGGGTGGGGGGTGGGCAGAACCTACTGGCCAGCCCAGCCCCCGTCAAAAGTCCACCACCACCACCACCACCGGGGGCCACAGCGACGCCAAAATTTGGGGACATAGCCTAGTCAGCCTGAGGGCGGGGGAGGCATTTGTGTGCAATGCAGTGGAGGGGAGTTCAGTCCCTAGCGACAGAAAACCTCAAACCCCCGCCTAGCCGGCTTTCTGTCCCATAGTACAGGGGTCTGAACTGAGGCGCCTCTGGGGGAGACTCTGGTCCCCCAGTTCATATATTTATCGTGGCCTAAAGGCTGCACCCCCGCCCCAGATCCGTCCCCATCCACCGGGCACTGACCCCCACGCTAGCGCCAATTCCTGGTGACAACTGCCACGTGCGGGCAAGAGGGGAGCGGCCTGTCCTGGCACGGCGGAGGCAGCGCCCGGGTGCCTCAAGCCCCCGCGCCGCACCCCGTCCCGGCTCGCCGCAGGGTGCCCACCCCCTTGCCTGGCCCATGCTCTGGGCCGGGGCGGGGGCGGGCGGCGGGGTCTTTGTTCCCGCAGCCAGAGCGTGGTGGCGGCGGCAAGGGGTCCGCGCCCCCCTCCCCGGCCCAGTCTGCGCCCCGCGCACCAGCGGAGCCTGCAGCTCAGGAGGAGGGGGCCCAGGTGGGGGGCCCGGCTGGGAGACCGTCCTCCGCAGAGGCCTCCGAGCCGAAGGACCTGGAGCGGCTCGGGGCCGAGAGCGGGGCCCGCCCCCTCCCCCCGCGCCCCGGCGCTGCGGCTCCGGCTGCTGGCGGACTTGGAGCGACTTAGCCCGGGCCCGGGCCGCCGCCGCTTGCTCTCTGCAGCGTTACAGCCGGCTCCGGCGTGCCGGGGCGCACACTCACACACACGCACAGGGACCCACACGCTCTCCGCAGGGCCAGCCCGGGACCCGCAGAGCCGCGCGCACACACTCCCTCTCGGTGCCACACACTCCGCACCTGCCCAGCGCAGCGCCGGAGCCCGCACCCCGGCCCGCGCCCCGCCGGGCGCGCGGCTCAGCCTACCTTCCCAGGCTGCGAAGATGCGGGGTCCGCTCCTCGGGTGGCCTTGGGTGGCGGCGGCGGTCGCCCAGAGCAGCAGTAGCAGCCGCAGCAGCGGCCCGGACCGAGTCGGCGGGCCGAGGACGCGGGCGCTTGGGGCGCCGAGGGCGGCGCGTCCGGGCGGGGGCAGTGGCATCCCTTGGCCCCGGAGCGACAGCGGCGAGCAGCCGAGAGTGAGCCAGCACCCGGCCGCAGGCAGACCCAGGCTGGGGAGGCGGAGTCAAAAGCCTGACCCCACCCCGCCCCTCCCCCGCCCCTCTCCTTTCTCTCCAACTCTGCCGCCCAAGTGGGGGCGCAGTACCCGCGCCGGGGGAACCTTCGCCATCCTGTCGCCGGCAACTCCGCTGGAGAACACGGCGGGGGCAAGACAGAACTATGGTGATCGGTAGCAGGTCTCGTCCCCTCTCTGAGCCTCAGTTGCACTCCCTCCACCCCACGAAACGATTGTCCTAGAAGTCTCGGAAGGACCTCCCAGAGGGCACGGACAGTCTAATACCAGTCCATCTTGCTAATGGCCAGCTAAGTGGTTCGGGCCCGAGGGCTGTGGTTCTCCGAGGATGGGCTGGCGTGAGTGGACACAGGCTCCCTGCCGAGCCGCAGAGCAGAGCAAGATGTTTTCCCCGAAGAGTGCAGGGGGTAGGGACCATGATCTGTGGAGAGCACTCAGCACCCCATTATCGCGCTCTGCCTGCGAGAACACTGAGAAGGTTTCATCTTGGCCTGGCTCCCTCCCCTCCCTTCTCTTCCCTTCCCCAGCCAGCAGCCTTCTGGGCTGACTCCCCCTGAGCCAGCTGGTGTATGCTCAGAAAATCTAAACTCATTTCCATGTGAGCAGAGGGGGATATAATTAGGAAGGCACCTTCCCAGAGGGGAGAGAGTGGGGAGCATGCCCAGGGATGGCTGTCCAGGAGGCAAGGTCAGCCCAGCTTTAGGGAATCTCTGTTCAGAGGTGCACTGGGCTTCAGCGGCCACATGCAACCCCATAACTCAAGGAGATTCCAGGCTCTGTCCCTCTACAGTCATCTGAGCAACCCAGGAAGCTTTGCCATCAGCTCAACCCCTCAGAGCCACCTGCCTGCCCTCTATAAAGGGATCCTCCTCCCTCCAGGTCAGAGAGGGCCCAGACCCACCACCTCTGCTGGCGCCCCAGGGATCCTGCAATGGGAATTCCACGCAGTCCAGGAAGCACTTATCCAGTGCTTCCAGGATGCCCAGCTCCAGGCAGGCTGCACTGAGAAAAGACAGGAGGAGCAGAAAGGAGTAGAGGGGCATGTTCCACCTCCCAGACACATACCTAGCTAGACCTGATTCACACACTGCAGACACCAACCAAGACAGTGGAAAAGCTACCCTGGCTCCAGCCCCAGCCCCTATTCTGCTCCATGGCCAGGGAAGTTATGCTTCCAGGAAGTTGTACTTTACCTTCTATACTCTGCTTCCAGCTGTCCCCTCCTTCTTCCACAGAGAGCTACAAGGTACCCCAGCAGGTCAAGACAGTGAAATCAAGATGCTTTCAGAGAGGGGGCTTGGTTCCTGGCCAGCTGGGTGAAGCCAACAGTTCCTGACACCCAGGGATACAGTGCCATTAGAGGGAGAAAGGGTGTAGACTGTCTAAGAGCCTCTCCCAGGCCTGCACCCAAGCTTGTGGTCCTGAAGCCAGCAGCAAGGCCTGATCCAAGCTAGCAACTAAGACTGACACCCTGCTTCCAGCCCAAGGCTTTATCTGCTGAGCTGTGTGACCCCCCGCAGTGTCTGCCCTCTGTACAAAGTTAAGAACTTTGTTGTTGTTAGGTGTCATCAAGTTGGTTCTAACTCATATCAACCCTATGTACAAAAGAACAAAACACTACCCAGTCCTACGCCATCCTCTCAATCTTTGCTGTGTTTCAGCCCATCATTGCAGCCACTGCGTCAATCCATCTCATTGAGGATCTTCCTCTTTTTCACTGACCCTCTACTTGACCAAGCATGATGTCCTTCTCCAGAGATTGGTCCCTCCAGGTAACATGTCCAAATTACGTGAGACGAAGTCTCTCCATCCTTGCTTCTAAGGAGTATTCTGGTATACTTCCTCCAAGACAGAGTTGTTCATTCTGGCAGTCCATGATGTATTGAATATTCTTCACCAACACCATAATTCAAAGGCATCAATTCTTCTTCGGTCTTCCTTGTTTATTGTCCAGCTTTCACATGCATATGAGGCAACTGAAAATACCATGGCTTGGGGCAGGCGCACCTTAGTCCTCAAAGTGACATCTTTGCTTTTCAACCCTTTAAAAGAGGTCTTTTGTAGCAGATTTGCTCAATGCAATACATTGTTTGATTGCTTGACTGCTGTCTCCATGGGTGTTGATTGTGGATCCAAGTAAAACGAAATCCTTGACAATTTCAATATTTTCTCCATGTATCATGATGTTGCTTAATGGTCCAGTTGTGAGGATTTTTGTTTTCTTTATGTTAAGGTGTAATCTATATTGAAGGCTGCAGTTTTTGATCTTCATCAGTAAGTGCTTCAAGTCCTCTTCACTTTCAGCAAGCAAGGTTGTGTCATCTGCATATGGCAGGTTGTCAATGAGTCTTCCTCCACTTGATGCCATGTTCTTCATATCCTCCAGCTTCTCGGATTATCTGCTCAGCATACAGATTGAATAAGCATGGTGAAAGTATACAACCTTGACACAAATCTTTCCTGATTTTAAACCACGCAGTATCCCCTTGCTCTGTTCTAACAACTACCTCTTGGTCTATGTACAGGTTTCATATCAGCACAGTTAGATGTTCTAGATTTCCCATTATTCACAATGTTATCCATAATTTATGATCCACACAGTCGAATGCCTTTGCATAGTTAATAAAACACAGGTAAACATCTTTCTGGTATTCTCTGCTTTCAGCCAAGATCCATCTGACATCAGCAATGATAACCCTCCTTTCACGTCCTCTTCTGAATCCAGCTTAAATTTCTGGCAGTTCCTTGTCGATGTACTGCTGCAACCATTTTTTTAGTTATCTTGAGCATAATTTTACTTGCATGTGATATTAATGATATTGTTCACACTTTCCGATGGGTCACCTTTCTTTGGAATAGGCATGTATATGGATCTCTTCCAGTCAGCTGGCCAGGTAAACTGTCTTCCAAATATCTTGGCATAGAGAGTAAGCACTTCCAGCACTGCATCCACATGCTGAAACCTCTCAATTGGTATTCTGTCAATTGCCGAAGACTTGTTTTTCGCCAATGCCTTCAGTGCAGCTTGGACTTCTTCCTTCAGTATCATCGGTTCTTGATCATATGCTACCTCCTGAAATGGTTGAACTTGACCAATTCTTTTTGGTACAGTGACTCAGTGCATTCCTCCTATCTTCTTTTGATGCTTCCTGCGTCATTCAATTTTTTGCCCATAGAATCCTTTAATATTACAACTCAAGGCTTGAATTTTTTCTTTAGTTCTTTCAGCTACAGAAATGCCAAGTGTGTTCTTCTCTTCTGTTTTTCTAACTCCAGGTCTTTGCACATTTCATGATAATACTTTACTCTGTCTTCTCCAGTCGCCCTTTGAAATTTTCTGTTCAGCTCTTTTACTTCATCATTTCTTCCTTTCACTTTTACAAGAGCAAGTTTCAGAGTCTCTTCTGACTTCCATTTTGGTCTTTTTTTTCTTTCATGTCTTTTTAATGACCTTTTGCTTTCTTCATGAATAATGTCCTTGATGTCATTCTATCACTCGTCTAGTTCAATGTGTCAAATCTATTCTTGAGATGGTCTCTAAATTCAGGTGGGATATATTCAAGGTTATATTTTGGCTCTCATGGACTTGTTTTAATTTTTTTCAGCTTCAGCTTGAACTTGCATATGAGCACCTGACAGTTTCTTTTGCAGTCAGCCCCTGGCCTTGTTCTGACAGATGATATTGAGCCTCTCCATTGTCTCTTTCCACAGATGTAGTCAATTTGATTCCTGTGTATTCCCTCTGCTGAGGTTCACATGTATAGTTACTGCTTATGTTGTTGAAAGAAAAGTATTTCCAATGAATAAGTTGTTGGTCTTGCAAAATTCTATCACGTGTCATTTCTATCACCAAGGTCATATTTTCCAACTACTTATGCTACTTTGTTTCCAACTTTCATATTCCAATCACCAATAATTATCAATGCATCTTGACTGCATGTTTGATCAATTTCAGACGGCAGAAGTTGGTAAAAAATCTTCAGTTTCTTCATTTTTGGCATTAGTGGTTGGTACGTAAATTTGAATACTAGAACTAAGAATTCAAATGGATTCAGAATTAATGATAACATTGCCCACGTGCACAGCAACTCGCAACATACAACCCACTTCCACCTACATCATCTCTGTCAGTCCTGCATTCTCTCCCTCATGAGGGAGAAAGCACAACCCCATTTTAGAGAAGGAAACTGAGATACAGGGAGGAGCAGGGACTCGCCCAAGGTCGGCTGGCAAATGGTGAAGCCAAGATGGGACCCCAGGTTTTCTGACTCCAAATAACAATAGCTAACACAGAGGTTACTGTGTGCTGTGCACGTTTCATAGACTCATTTTAACTCATCTAATCTTTCCAACCTTATGAGACGCTTTTATCCACCTTCTTTTACAAACAAGGAAACCGAGGTCACACAGCTAGTTAGAAGGGCTGGGATTGAAATTCAGGTGGTCTCTCTGGGGCCACACCCTTAACTCTGTCGTATTGCCGCTCAGTGTGATGTGCCTTTCACAGCTGCCTCCTGTGTGTAGGTCCCAACAATCCTGAGAACCCAGAAGATGTCCTGGTCACCAGGTGCTGGGCAGGAAGGAAGGCCAGGGCCAGGCTCAGCCTCCCAAACAACAGGGCAGCAGATGGAAATGGGGTACGTGCCAGAGAATTTTTTCCAGGATGGAGATGGGGGTGCTGAAGACCATCCTACTTCATGTTGGGGGCGGGTCAGCTCAGTCTTCCAGGCCCAGCTTAGCACCTGCTCCGCCATCTCCCTGTCCTCCAGGGAAGAGGGCACCACTAACAGGCACCGCCGTCAGCCAACCTGGCGACAAAGGGCCAGGGCCAGATGGCAGCCCACTCCTGGTTGGCTGTAGGCAGCCAGGGGGAGTGAGAACCAGGCCCATGATTTGGGGCAATAGCT